CACATCTTACCAGCATAAAATAGTAAATAATATTTTTTGTTTAAACAGTACTAATAAAAGGAATAAAATGGATAATTTTAAAATGATTAAACTGACATTCAAGATATTCAGCTTTTATAAATCGTACCACAAAATTTTATTATATAAAGGTAGCCGCATCACTCTTGCAAAAATTATTCACAACAAACTTCTTAGCTTACAAAATAAAGAGCCTCGTCTAGATAATACCAAATTATCTTATAGACAAATATAAATGCCTCTCGAGGATTTTCAAATTGGTCACTAAAGGAAGATATTCTATGAGATTACAACCGGTATCAAATCATGTCCAAACTACTGTTTCGAAGTTTAATGGTATTATATCAGTCTATTGCCGATTTCATTCGACTTTTCCAACCTGTACTTTTACATACATTGTAACAGTTTATTTAAATAGATATTTTAAATAAAAACTACTCTTAAGTAGCAGTTAAACCTTTTAAATAGAAGTTAATCAAATATTTAAAATATTATTTAAAAAAAAAATACTCTTACAGATTATATTTAGGCTTTAAGCACAGATTTATTTATTAAAACGATTACTCTTAAACATTTTGCTAATAACCAAAGTTACTCGATCTACAAAAACAAAATTTCGCAAACAGTTTAATCCCAAAACTATACTTTCAATTTCTGATTACCTTGAAAGGTAATAGTATTCCTTCTGAATTTCCCTCGAGATTTTATATGACTCTTAGGCCTACCGCACACGACAGACTTTTTGTCGGCCGACTGTTGGCACAGAAAACGTACTGTGCTGTTGGCCAATTGTCTGGCTGAAGTCGGGTGAACAATCGAAAAGTCGTCAAGACTGTTTGTGTCATATGTTCGTTGTTCTTTAATATTTATTTAGTTACTAGCTGTACCCGCGGGCTTTGCCCCGCTTAACTTCATAAGTATTCGCATGGCTCAATCACGTCCTGGTTGAAGTTCGTTCGCTACGCTCACTCACCTTCAAGTTGGAAATCGTTCGCTGCGCTCACTTGTTTTCAGGTTAGCTCGTTCGCTACGCTTACTCGCCTCCAGGTTGATGTTCGTTCGCTACGCTCACTCACCTTTTGGTTGCAAATTAGCTGTTGTCATACATTTAAAAAAGTCATCCCTTTTATTGTTTATAATACAGTACTTTTATAAAGGTTTTTATGTTTTAATATTTAACATTGGAGAATTTAAACGTTGTTAAGTGCACAGGTGTGCTGCGATTGGGGTTTAATACATTTGGACTTATTCAAAAGTAAAATAGTTTTCTGTGCTGCAATCTGTAGAAACACTGTGGCACTATTTCAAATCATGACTAATGCTAATACAGAATGTTGTAGTTATTCAAACGTACAAAACAGTTGGTGAAAGTAAACATCTGCTTTTAAATTATATTTATTTGTAAACATTCTAGATCAAAAAGTCTGACATTGGCCCACTTAAAACCCTCTGGGGCAGAGCCCTTTTGACGGATCTGCACCAAACTTCACTCGAACCATCCTTGAAAGATGCTTAATAATGCCTGAAAGTTTCATTACAATCTGTCGAGCGGTTTCGGAGTCCATAACGTATATACACATATATATACATACATACATAGTTCCTCTTTTATAGATATAGATTATTAAGATCATCTGGAGATTGTTTTTGTATTGTATTTACAAATAATTCAGTGGGTAACATTTTATTCCTAAGATAAAAATTGTTAATCCATATAAAACTTCTTTATTTGACATGGTGGCAGCGGTTTAGTTTTTTTTTAAATGCCAAAAAACAATAGATTATCAATCAGAGGAAACAAATCAAATCAATCATCAGAAACACATAATGTTCTAGAACCAAGACAGCAGCAAAATAGGACTACATCAGTCATGTTTCAACCTCCTGAACCTTTTGATTCAAAATATCCAGAATTATGGGAAAAGTGGTTTAAGAGATTTGAAAGGTATAGAATTGCATCAGGACTGGACAATGAACCTCAAGTAAAACAAGTAAGCTGCTTGATTTACTGTATGGGGCCTGATTCTGAGGATATCTTATCAACAGCACACCTCTCAGAAGATGACAAAGCCTCATATGAATCGGTAACAAGCCTTTGACAACATATTTACTGGCAAAAGAAATGTCATATACGAACGAGCCAAGTTTAATTCAAGATCACAACAACCAGATGAATTATTTGATACATTTCTGGCAGACATAAGCTCAATGGCCGAACACTGTTCATTCAAGAACCTTAAAGCAGAACTAATACGTGATAGAATTGTAGTGGGTATAACTGATAAACGTTTATCGGCCCAATTACAAGAAGATTCAAATCTTACATTGGAAAAAGCAGTTCAAAAATGCAAACAAAAAGAGTCTATCAGCAAACAAGCAGCTGAACTAGAAATGATATGCCAAGGAAAACATGCAGAAGTCGAACGAATCAAATCAGACCAAAAACAAAGTGCAAGATTTAACAAAACCCATGATTTAAAGACAGCTAGGAAAGAATGTTGTTGGAACTGTGGAGGTCCAATGCACCCCAGGCACTTATGCCCTGCTAAAGATTTAGCATGCCATTACTGCCAAGGAATCGGTCACTTTGCCAAACATTGCAGAAGCAGATTATTAGAGACTAAAACAACGGACAACACGAAGAGACTCAACGAAATAAGACGTTTGGACAAGCCTGACAACACTGAAGCTTCAGTAGCATATTTAGGACCTGTGAATGCTTCATGCTATGACTCCAGTTCTTGGTATGTAGAAATATTTATCAATAACCAGTTAGTTAAAGCGAAACTTGATTCAGGCGCAGAAGTTACAGCCATTCCTTCAAATGTAATTCATGCAAAACTTATGAAATCTGACCGTATACTTAGGAATGCTGATCAGAGGGAACTAGATGTAAGAGGTATGTTTATAGCAGACATAGCTTACGATGGGAAAATGGTAAAAGAAAAGGTGTATGTTGTTGCAGGATTAAATGAACCTTTACTTGGAATTCCTGCGATTAAATCTTTAAATCTCATAACCCTCAGAAAACCTGATACTGCAGGACTTAACTCAATTACCTTAGACTCTGTATTAACTAGCCACCCTGAGCTTTTCATTGGTCTGGGTAGCATTCCAGGAGAATATAAGATTGAATTGAACGAAAACGCTCAACCGCACTCGGTTCGAGCTCCAAGAAACATATCAATTCCTTTACGTTCAAAAGTGGAGACAGAATTGAACAGAATGTTGGACTTAGGAGTGATAGAAAAAGTAGAGTCTCCAACTGACTGGTGTGCACCAATAGTACCAGTACTCAAGCCCAATGGTAGTCTACGTTTGTGTGTTGATTACACTGAACTTAATAGGAATGTTAAACGGCCAAAGATAATACTACCAGATGTAGAAGAAACACTAGGGCAAATTGGGCGCTCTAAAATATTTTCAAAACTAGATGCCCAGTCAGGGAAATATCACCTGACACAGCTAAACTAACTTCTTTTATTACTCCATTCGGAAGATTTTATTTCAAGAGATTACCCTTTGGCATTACAAGCGCACCAGAGTTTTTCACTACACAGATGTTTAAACTTTTAAATGGTATCGATGGGGTATTATGTCATATGGATGACATACTTATACATGGCCGAACACAAGAGGAGCATGATTACCGTCTCACTCAAGTATTAGATCGCTTAAAAAAAGCAAAGGTTGTACTGAACAAAGAAAAATGTTCTATTTCCCAAACATCTGTGAAGTTTCTTGGAAACCTGATCGACTGTAATGGTATCAAGGTCGATCCTGATCGTATACGAGCACTCGAGGAACTTCCCCCTCCTAAAGATATTGCGGGAGTTCGACGATTAAATGGTATGTTGAATCAACTGAACAAGTTCATTCCAAACTTAGCTGATAAAACTGAATCATTCCGTGAGCTTACTAGAAAGAATAGACAATTTTGTTGGACAAGTCAACATCAAGAAGCCCTTTCAGACATTATACAGACCATCAATGAATCAATATCTTTAACTAAGTATGATGTAAATGCTGAAGCTATTGTTATAGCCGATTCATCAGCATATGGATTGGGTGCAATGTTACTTCAGGTTGAAGATAAATCTCCCAAAGTAGTGATGTTTGCTTCAAGGACCTTACAGGACTGTGAAAGACGATATGCCCAGATAGAAAAGGAAGCTCTTGCATGTGCATGGGCCGCAGAAAAGTTTTCTAAGTTTTTAGTCGGGAAAAAATTTAGAATCCTAACAGACCACAAACCATTAGTTTCGCTCCTTGGAAGCAAAGACCTAGACACAATACCAGCTAGGATTCAGAGATTCAAAATGCGATTGATGAAATTTGACTACTCCATCGAACACATTCCCGGAAAAGAAATGTTTACAGCAGACACATTAAGCCGAGCGCCGATCCCAGATTCTACAGATGAGTTCACAAAAGAGGTAGAGGCACACATTAAGGTAATATCTTTAAACTTTCCAGCAACACAGTCAAGATTGGAACAAATAAAGAATGCCCAGATCCTGTGTGAAGAATGTCAGATGTTGGTGAAATACACAGAAAATGGATGGCCTAAATATAAGAAGGATGTGCCAGAGAGTTTGAGAAAGTGGTATACCTTTAAAGACGACCTATCTATAATAGAAGACTTGATATGTTATAAAGAAAGAATTATTATCCCATTTGAACTTAGAAAAGATATCATTAATAAACTGCACGATGGTCATTTCGGGTCTACACGCACAGTCCTCCGAGCGAAACAATCTGTGTTTTGGCCAGGAATTACAACAGAGATACATAACTTGATTGAAAATTGTGACACTTGTGCTAAACACCAAAACCAAAAGTCAGAAAAAATGATTCAATCAGACACTCCTGACTATCCATGGCAAAGAATAGCAGTTGATTACTTTGACTTTGTGAAAGGCAAATACTTGGCTGTTGTGGACTATTATTCACGGTACTTGGAAATGATAAATGTGTCCACAATGACTGTAGATGAACTAATCAAGAAGATGAAAGCCTGTTTTGCTCGACATGGGATCCCTGAAATCGTAATTTCTGATTCTGGCTCACAGTTTACAAGCTCAGAATGGAGAGCCTTTGCAGCCGATTTTGGGTTTAAAACTATTTGTTGTAGTCCCTTACACCATCAGGCAAACGGTGAAGCTGACAGAGCAGTCCAAAAGATGCTTACAAAGAACAAAGACCCCACTCTTGCATTACTGGAGTACAGGTCAACACCAGGTCCATCAGGGTACAGCCCTTCGGAATTGTTGATGGGAAGAAGACTAAGAGCCCGACTACCGTCATTGACGAAAGATCTCAAGCCTAAAATGGTAGATCACAAGACATTTAGAGAATTGGACAAACTATATAGAGCAACTCAAGCAGATTACTTCAATAAACGGCATGGAGTGAGAGATGAAAAGCAATTCACTATTGGATGCAACGTGTATATTCCTGATAGGAGAGAAGATGGGAAGATAGTTATAAGGTAGCTCCAAGATCATACACAGTTAAGACAAACGAAGGCATGTTACGTCGCAACGGGGTAATGCTAAGACAACTACAACCCAAAACATCTGATGACCCTGGAACTGAGCCTAATTGTTTTTCCTCATTTGGTAGACAAATAAATCCACCAAGAAGAACATGTCTTTAAAAAAAAGGGAAGAGAAGATGTCATATGTTCGTTGTTCTTTAATATTTATTTAGTTATTATTAAGATCATCTGGAGATTGTTTTTGTATTGTATTTACAAATAATTCAGTGGGTAACATTTTATTCCTAAGATAAAAATTGTTAATCCATATAAAACTTCTTTATTTGACAGTTTGGTCGTTGACTATGGGTGCGCACACGACACGACTGTTTAGTCGTCTTTCGAGTGTCAACAGGATGCATATGACAGAAACCGCTGTCATATGTGCTTTACTGATAAGATTTCGTGCAAGAAAACATAAGAGAAAATACTGGGTGCATCCAATTTATAGTCCGAGAACCTTAAAAGGCCAGATTTACCTCTAAACTCGGATTTGAGGAAATATCCAGACAAATTTTTCAATCAATAACTAATAACTTAACATTCACTTAACTTATTAACTTCAGACAAATAACTTCTTGATCAGCATTGTACGTGTTATTAAATTTACTTTCCGTAAATTTCTCATGTACTCATGAATGAGTGTTGATTTTTTTGACCAATTGTTAATACCCCGGCTTCAAATACCTCATCCCATAACTTTTAGGGAATAAGCTGTAACCGTAGGTCTCATGGTGAGACCTGGTCCCGGGACCGATTTACCTTTTCGTTTTAATGTCCCCAGAGGCCAAAAACACCATCCGTTCAAATTCAAACACACATATATTTGTCCGTTAGCACGATAACTCGGAATAAAATTATTTGATTTTGATGAAATTTGGTACAAACGTGTAAACCTACATCTATTTTATTCAAAGGAGTTCGCAAAACAGCATGATCGAACTATGGGAACCGGGGTTTATGGGGGGTTTTATCGGGTAAAAATGGGGGTTTCCCTTTTTTAACGATAAAAACAAAAGATTCCGTAATTTCTTTAGAAAATATTTTGCAGAGCTTAAAAAACAAATAATTTAGCATGCTAATTGTTATCATAATGGTTACAGGGAAATTCCAAAATATTTAAAGTTAAAATTTTCATGTCATTTATATGTAGAACAAGTAAAATGTTGTATGTAGTTTGCTTGTTAATGGATGTATTTTGATTAAACTTGGCAAATCTATTTATTTTATACTCATCTATTGATGTTTTACTAAAACACATCCTGAATACCCTCCCTGTAGCAGCAAACCTAGGTACTCGTTTATCCTAATTTTATTGAAATAGATTAAATACATAATTAAATCAGGCAAATAGGAATTCACTTAGTCTGCAGGTTTGCTGCAGTGGGGGTACTTTTTTATTATGACCAAATACTCCTTCAAAGTATTTTTATAAAGAGGGGACCGTGTCTCAACTTCATCGATAAGTTTATCAACTTTCTCGTCCCTCAAAACACTTGCACTGGTGGTTGTCGAAGCCTTAATAATAACAAAAACACACAAATTAAATACTAATCATAATAACAATAATAATACACATGATAACAACGCACTCGACTGTCAGACTTTTTAGTCGTCAGTGTGCGCGTTCTAACTTATCTCCATGCCTTTATCAATGAGACACGACAGTTGAGTCGGGGAGCAGTCGGCGGGAAAATCGGTCAGCACCAAACTGCCCCGACTGTCTGCGGACAGTGTGCCGACTGTCTTGCTGCGGTCGGCCCGTGTGCGCGCACAGATTTACCACCATGGGGCCGACTTTGACTCCCGACTACGACTAAATAGTCGGCCGACAAAAAGTCTCTCGTGTGCGGTAGGCCTTAATAGTATATTTCATTACTAGGACCGAAAGTGGCATTTTCCGTTGCGCGCTCAAGTTTTTGTGTGAGGCGAAGCCGAACACAGGGAACTCCAATTTCACGTGCGAGGCGAAGCCGAGTATGTGAGAGCTATTTTCACGTACGAGGCGAAGCCGAGGACGGGAATAATGGAGCAAGTGCCGGATAATAACTTTCGGTACGAGTTATGAACGATACTTTTCATCACGACGCAAAAATACACAAACACAGAATAGTAGACCTCAGTAATATTAAAACAATTTTATTCCGCAATTAATTTGATTGAACATCAAAATAAAATAAAATCTTCTAAAAAGAAACCTACGTATATTTCTCAATAAATTTTGTTTAAACATCAAAATAAAAGAATAACACAACTTTTAAAAATACATACAGCTGATTAAAATCATTAAATTAAACAGGAACAAAACACTAGCGCGCTAGTGAACAAATGGAGAACTAATTGAGAGCGAGGGAAAGTAAATTTAGAGCGAGGGAAAATCAGCTGATCGATTTTCCCTCGCCCTAAATTAGAGCTTGGGAAACGACTACTTTCATTGATGTCAGCTGTTATCGAAAATAGTTACTTTCGTTAAGGAGTGATGAAAATGTATTTTTGTGGAAGCTCCCATAACCTTTTATTTACAATCTAATTCAAATTGTTCTAGTGTGTAAAATGAAACATAATTATACGTATGGGTACATCTAAACACAAATAAAAACACAAATCTTCTTTAAAATGTTACTAATAGAAACAAGCGCATTGCCGGACCGACCCCTTTCTCTCTCACCACGAAAATAGAAAAATATACTGTTACTTATTTCAAGTTTATTCAGGAATATTAGGTTTGCAGTTAAAATAATGTTTCTACCTAAATATTTGTATAATAACGTTGTTTTAAATTATATCACATATTCTGTACTAAGTCACCAGTTATAGTAAAATCTATTTCCCTTTAAGGTGGCAATAAAAACCTGCACTGTCTTATACCCTAACCCTTACTCACATATTTCAATGTTAAACTTTCATGAATATGAGGTGTAACGTTGAAATAATGTTTGTTAACTTCATTTAAGTTTGAACTTTCTTGGAAACTGGTGGTATAATTTGGAGGGATGCAACTTTTCACTTGCTTATTTAGTGAAGCTGCAAACAAGAAAGTTGGCGCAGGTTTAGTCTTAACCGCCAACGGTTTGTGAATTCATCCGTGAGAGAGTATATTATACTTGGTTCTTCTTGCCTATCTTTCGTTGGTAAAAAAATAATTATTTATTTATTTATTTCCTCTCAACGGTTACACCATTTTACAGCGAATATTTACATGTTGTATTTTACAACATGTATTTTACATGTTGTATCTAATAGGCCACAAAATATTGATCAACAGTAACTTATAACAAATAACAAATTAAACATATAACAAGTTGAGCAATTAGTAACAAATAAGAGGTATTATCTGGATTGAAAGTTATCTATTGATTATTAATAAATTGTGTGATAAAATTGTGTTATTTTAAATTAATTTTTGCCTGGTTCGCAATACCACTATGATTACAATTGTGAAAATGTCAAATCTTCTTTTCAAAGGTTGTTAACCGAACAAAATTCATCATATGGGAAAAATGTGAAAAATTTCTCTTAAGATTTGGATTTTTTTTGTTAAGTTAACAGTATGGATCCTTGACCACTCTTATGGTATTTTAATGTCAGTTCGGTAGTCATCTGACTTTGTCTTTTTTGGTGGGGGGAGGACGTTCGAATTGTAATTGGAGTACGGGAGTCGCCAAAACCTAACCCCTGACCTTTCACCAATAACCCCCCCCCCCCCATGCTGAAGACCGGTCAAAGACTGATGGCCCAAAGACTGAATGAAATACCATGAATTATATGATCAGCTTTGATATTTTGTACGATCACTTTCGGGTTTTAAATCCTCCTTGTTTCAATAGTTAAATTTGAGATATTTTTCCCAAATATCTTAAATCCAAACATATATGTGGAGTTTAACGTCCATAAATTTTTGATGTTGTACGGTTGAAGAACCTTTTTTGACAAGCCGTTGTTGTCAGACTTTTAAAATGAAGACTGATATAATGGAGGCTTCAATTAATTGTAACGCTAAAAAGACTAACATTTTAGCTTTAGCTGAAAGAATATTTTTTGCTTTGAAGTTGAAGTATGTTATGGAGGCGGCCATTTTGTAAAACTTTGATTTACCTTATTTGCAGTTTCATCAGTAGATTTTTATGATCATGCGCGTTAGTATTGTGTTATCTTTTAACCACAACCAATCATTATCATATTCATGGTGGTTTATTCAGAGAACTAAAAACAGTAAATGGGCGTCATAAAGTACTTAAAACATAGCAAGTCAATGGAGGAATAAGTAAATGAATGCGGTCGTTCTCGAACCAGTAATCTACCTATCGTCCCAAGACGCTACCACTTATCTTTGGGTACGATACTTTACATTGTATGAAATATTACAGAACTCCATGTAAATAATTATGTTTAAAGACACATACAGATAATATATGCATACATAAAATGTATATCAAATATAAGTTGATATATATCAAATATGTATATCAACAACTAACGTTTTTTCAAATCCAAATAAGTTTTTCCTCCATTTACCTGACAAAGTGGGCTTCTTTGCACTGATTATACCACGCAAAGTAAATAATTTCTGCATTTAATTACGTTTGCCACACTCATTTTTTCGGCACTCCAGTATTCCAACCAAACAACACAAAGCAGTGTGTATTTATTAGGCACGTAAAACTTTTACGCTTGAAATAAGTTGGCAACACTTAAAGATACTTCTCAGCTGGTGCAGCGTTCCCCATTTCGTTCAACGATTAGATTTAACCTAACCTAAAAACGTGTTGTATAGTGTTTGAAAGACGAATTATTTATATGCAATATAGTAACTGTAGGAAAAATATAATGTGTAACGCGAGTGCCTAGTTACACAAATAACTATTGAACGAGTAAAACCAGTACAAAAAGCTAATAAAACCAGGACTTAAACCTCTTTTAATGCACTTTGTTTCTATGTAAGGAAGGCTACTGACC